ATAACTATAGATATCTATCCTTAATAATTAGAACAAAACATTATCGAATTATTTGTATATAATTTAGTGGGATTTCCATTAGATTATAGCCAATATGGTAAATCCCAATATCCTCTGGTTTAAATTCTCAAGAATAGGTATCCATATGAAAGTCTCTTTGGTGGTTAACAATTTCCAGGGAAAGCGGCTTCCGCCCGAACGGCGTGATCTTTTAGGGGCATCCCCCTCGTTAAAGATCTGGTAACTTTTACACCGCCCGAATGGCAAATTAAGCTTATTGCAAGTAATAACAAGTATTTTGTTTATAGTTTGTACAATTGTTCTTGATAAGTGCCGAATGCCACTACCAATAGATAATACAACGATCGTAATCTGATTCGAGTTATTATGTTCGCACGAATCTTAACGGTCAGCGATTCCTTCTTTTTTCTTTACGTGAAGAAGAACGAATGAATGAAAGTTTTTATCGTCTCTAAGGAGACGATATGACTATCGATTGAATCTGAAATCTCGTTCCATTTTTAATTCTGAATATCGATATGAATTATTACCTATTTCAATAGGCAATCACAAAATAATTCCATTCCATTTTGAACAATCCATCTTTACATCTCGCGAAATCAGTAAACTTTAATTCGGTGATAATCGAGGTGATGATGCAAATATAAAAATGTAATCGCTGATCGTCATAGTGTGATTCAAAAACGTCTAATCGCAATCGCAAGCGCAAGCGCAAACGCATTCTCCAATCGCTAGTGTGATACGGGCATAACATTGATGTTATAACTTCGGCGTAAAGCGTGCCGTGTAAACGTAGGCCCGTATTCAGAACGCGCTTTTATCGATAAAAGCGCACTTTTATCTCTGAAATTCTATAATATGCGTAACGTAAAGTATGGTATGTTAGCGTGCTAACATCGTTGTAAGCGCGTTCTGAATATGGGCCGTAGTATATGTCTTTGGCAATATCCAGTGGTCGCCATTTTGTTGGATCCTGCACTGGAGATGCTTTCCCAAACAGTGTTGTTATGGCCGCAGCACAGACTTTTGCATAACGCATAACGAATAGTGCAAGCGAATCAACTAATTAAAAGCTTTCCTTTCCTTTCATTTCATGGAAAAGAAGAATTTCGATTGGTTGATTCCCTTATGCGCTATGCATTATACGTTATGCAAGAGTCTGTGTTGAGGCCATTAAACGGGCCGGATTTCTGACGTATGCGCGTCCTAGAGTCCTAGATTTATCTGAGAGGCGCAATCGGCTTAAAGCTGGAAACACAATAGACACAGGCAATAGGCACAGGCAACAGGGAATAAGGAGCCGTCCAATCAGAGTTCTGGGATATAATATCGAACTTATACCCCAAAGCTCTGATTGGACGGCTCGTTATTCCCTATTGCCTGTGTCTATTGTGTTTCCAGCTTGAGTCAGTATGACAAAGGTGCTAAGGAGAGTACTAAACATGGCCGACATGCTATGAAACTGCCTTTAAACTATGTCAAACAAGATAAGACGTATAGGATAATGTGAGATAGAATGTATAAGATAAAATGAAATAGAAATATGTCACTAGTACTATAAATGGCTGCCAAGTCACGCAATTGGTTAGATTTCAACAGCAAATCAGAATGCATAACACCGGTTGCGCCTCTCTGATATATCTAGGACTCTAGCGCGTCCAATGTAGCTTCAGTAACGTACCGGTCACTAGTAAATAGGAGATCATTAGTCGACTATGTAAAATTGTTTCAAAAATGTTGAAAATTTTAATATATTTTATATGTTTTACATATGTAAACATATATAGAAATATATTATATATATTTATATATATATATGTATACATATGTAAAATATGTAAAATATATTAAAATTTTCAACATTTTTGAAAAAATTTTACATAGGCGACTAATGATCTCCTATTTACTAGTGACCGGTACGTTACTGAAGCTACATTGGACGCGCATGTGTCAGAAATCCGGCCCGTCTAACAACACGGGCGGCACCCAGTTGGACACGGCTCAATTGGACACGAGCCACTCACAGCGCTTGAGACTACAAAGCTCCTAAAAGCACCGGTCGCTGTGATTGGTGGTGTCCAATCGAGCCGTGATCAATCGGGATCACCCCCGTAAAATCTAAAATATAACCTAAAACTCTTAATAGTGTTGAATAGTTGAAGCATTATTGAATGTATAGAAGAAGAAAATAATTACCAATACAATAATCTTTACAAGCAATAATGCTTCAACACTATTATTTTAGATTATGAGCTAATACGTTTGCGAGGCTGTACGACATCACAAATCAATATCCAGTCATTAATAGAGTCCTATATATAGAGAGAAGCGACATCGAACCCCAATCACCAGATCGGATGCCAACCATCACTCCCTACGCCGCCATGTTCTGACCGCTAAAGTGTCATAAACATAAACATACTCCAACCTCCAATTCTGTACTTCGATGTGAATAACAAGGGCTGTGTTCCAAAATTGTTTGTCAGCGCTGGCAGTACTGCCAATACCGTTCCAAAAATCATCGTAGCACGCTGTGGCAATGCTGCGAGAGGGTAAAGACGTCATTAATGTTGTCGTCATTTCCTACTGCGGCTGCAGGTGAGGCAGCTACAGCACAAGATGGCGGAAAAGATGGAGGAGTTAATTTTAATCGATGCTGAGAGTAACACTGAGTATAAACTCAGTGTTTCTGTAGAAGATGCTAAGGGTATATCCACACAAACTTGCATAGCCGCATAAACATATACATAAAGAAAATTATCCAATTGCAGTTCTCTTTTAAAGTCGTACATAAAATGTGATTGGATAATTTTCTTTATGCATACGTTTATGCGGCTATGCAAGTTTGTGTGGATATACCTTAAGAAAGCAAGAAGTAGTGAGTAGATTTATAATTTTTTTGTAGTCTGCTTTTTGTAGTCACACTTATTTATTCTTATTTCGAATTCAAATACAAAAATTGACATAACCTATGTACAAGAGGAAATCAAAAAGTAAATTTATTTTATTCACATACAATAGGCGTTAACAAAATATGTACATTATTTCTCAATACAATCATTTAGCTTTGCATAAAATTTTGTTTAACAATCTACAAATCTGATTCCATCTATGAACAAACTGGTTTTTGACTATCCTCGAAACATCAATGGTATATATTTCCGTTTCCTTAACTTCCTCATTACTATTACGATCTTTGTGCTTCGAGCAAATTGGTTTCCATTTATTTGTACCTTCGGTATTCTTGGTTGACGTTCGTAATAATTATATATAATTTCCGCTAATTCTGAATCTGAATCACTAGACTCTTCATCACTAGAATCAAGTGCTAACTTTATAATAGTTTCAAATACGAATTTTTTCTGTATGCTTCTCTCCATATTTCTAGGTTACTTGTTTCTTTTCGCTGACGTCGCTATATGCTGACAGCACTGAAAATATCGTTCCAAAATGAAAGCTGCGTTTGCATAAAAAGCATGCTTATGAAATTGGAACACTATTGATAGCATGCACTTATGACGACATGCTCGCAGCGCTGACAAACAATTTTGGAACACAGCCCTCGACAGCCGCAGCAGTCGCAGTAGGAAATGACGACACC